CCTTTGATCTTATTTGCCCTTCATTTTCTTTTATTTGCTTTTACTTTCCCGTATTTGCCTTTCACTTTATTTGCGCTTTCTTTTTCCTTATTTGCCTATTATTTTTTTGCCTTATTTGCCTGTGTTTGGCTCCTATTTTTCTTTCTTCGGCCCTTATTTTTTCTTATTTGCTTCTTTTTTTGCTCCTCATTTGCCGCTAGAAATTTTTCCTTGGCCTCTTATTTTTTATTTGCCTTTATTTTCCCCTTTTTGGCTTTTTAATTTTCTTCTTTGCTATTTTTTATTTATTTGCCTTTAAGCTTGCCTTGTGTCCGCGTCTCTCTAGCAGAGGTCGAAAAAAAGACCCCCGAGGTCCAGAAAAAGATCTTTCGGGGTCCGAAAAAAGATCCGGGGTCAGCTACAAGATGTTTCGGAGCCGAGGAAAAGACTGCTCAAAATAATGCATAGGGGTTGAAAAAAAGATCGTGCTCTTTTTCTAGGCCTCATCGCGGGGCCGAAAAAAAGATAGAGGTCGAAAAAAAGACATACCGCGGTCGAAAGCGGGATGGACCAACTGCGCGGTCTGGAAAAAGACATTTCGGGGTTGAAAAAAAGAGCAGCCCAGAAACAAGTATTGCGTGAACAGGATGGATTATGAATATGCCATGGTGATTTCCCCCAAGCTTCCTGGCTCTACGGTTTTCAGATCGTCCGAAGACACTGGTGTGCATTGCATGGAAATTCATTCTGATGCTGATTGGTCCGGGCACAGAGTGACTCGCAAGCCATTTGGTTTGGCTATGTTTGCAGTTGATGGTGCAATCATACACCACATGTGCAGGAGCCACCGCGCAGTATCCATGTCGAGCACAGAGTCAAAGTGGTATGCTGCAATCAATGCTTCGTGTGAGGGAATATTCTTGAGGTCCATTTATAAATTCTTGGCATAAGAGCAATGTGAGCTTCAACTCAAGGTCGACAATTCGGCCACAAGTAAATTGGCAATGCGCAGAGGCGTGGGCAGAACGTGCCACATCGTGTTAAGCGTGCTGCCAGTCCACAGGATTTTCAATTTAAGTGACCTTTCTACGATGCATTCGGCTGCTTGTCTGAGGTCTCTTCCTTACTTGCATGGCTTCGTCAATGGATCCAGCGAGCAGGCCGTGGGTGACGAGGAGTATGATGAAAAGACTTTGCGCGTCAATGCAAGGAGCAGATTAAGGCAGTGCAGCGAGTTGCGAAACAGAACAACACAAGGTTGACAATGAGCATGGCAAAGAGAGTGGCATTGGTCACATTTGTCATGCTTCCGAATTGTGCAACACCAACAGTTTTCTCAGCTGGTTCATGGGTTTTCCTTTCTGTGCTACTGTTGGGGTGTGATCCTTTTGATCATCACGGCCTTTAGCATCGACGTTTTGTCGTTCAGAGTGCACTGGGACGTGGACACAGCATCTCCTGGTGTCGATGGCTACGTTGCCGATGTTTTGATTGGCCTTTACGTCGCGATTGAGTACTTCCAAGACTTCAGTGCTGAACACTATTTTGTGGAACTGGTGATGATTATGCCTTTCATGATGTGGACGGAGAGTCGTGAGCTGAGAGCAGTGGTCAGAGACAAAGATGGGCCCAATGATGTGTATATTACGAAGCATGGTGATAAGTACCACAAAGTCGGTTGTGTCCATGTCCGAGACAAGGCAACCACAACGAAGTACAGTGCATGTTCAAAGTGCTTCAAGCGCCTCAGCTAGATGCAAAGCATCAGCTGGAATCAGAAGCAGAAGTTTCGTCAGCATCAAATGCACTAAGTCGCATTTGGACGCTCAGGCGGGGTGATGAAACTTTGCATCCCCTCCTTGTGCAGATTTGACCGTGTGCTGTAATTTGTGTTTTGCCTTAGGCTTGTATCAATTTCACTTGGAACGTTTTCGTAGGTCATGCATGACATGAGTTCATGATGATCTTAATGCGCGGACGCAACCGAGGCCGACAAGAGTGCTTGAACTCACTTCGCAGTTTTTCACTTTTCAAGAGCTTTTCCAAAGAAAGTGCCAAGGCTGTCACGCGCTCACGCGAGAGTTGAAGACTGTCAGAAGAGCCTCAACAACAAACTGCTTCAAGCTTCCCGAGCTTCTCTAAAGAACTTGCCAAGGCTGTCGCGTGTTCACACGAGAGTTGAAAACTGCCAGAAAAACGCTTAAAACAAACTGCTTCAACCGTCCTTTGCTCAGTTGCCGCCTGCGAAGCAGTCACGCCTTGACTCACCGCATTCGATAAGCACGCCCTGCTTTCTTACATTGACATGCGCGACGCAGCAATCCTTCGTTTCACATGTAGGGGGTTTTCTCGACTTGACTGCAGAGCAGGTTGACAAGGGGTTTCCTCGACTTGCCTGCAAGGCAGGTCGACAGCCAACTCTGAACAGCACCCTTGGAAAAAGTCGGTTGCATGCTTGCTGTTAATGAAAGGTACATGAATAAATACGGAACCCATGGGTTTCGCCGTCGCCGCAGAGCTTCTGGATTCATTGGTTTTCCTACCATGGAAAATTCCGTGAACAGTTTCTGCAATCAACAATCTCAAACGCACAGTCACGGATGCAACCAGCCTCAGAATTCAATCACTCGGTCCCGGGACTTTTCACAGCGCCACTGCCAAATGTGGGCAACACAGTGGCACTCAATCACTGCGTGCTAACACTGGAAGGGGGTTGAGATACCAGTGGTCGCTAACATTGAGGGGGGGCTTGAGAAGGGAGGATTTCTCGAAGAGGCTTCAAAGGGGACTTGAGAAAGAAACGGCTTGGATGAAAAAACGCGACAGCAAACTTACAATCAACGGGACATGCCAATCATGGTCTTACTCTGTGTATAAAGCAAGTGCACAACTCGACTGCAATCACTCAGCAATCCTTCCACGGTTCGGTTTTGAACCGGTCCGTGATGTGAGAAGTCAATGCCATCAAGACATGTCACATGCAATGTCACTGCACTTAAAAGTGGTATGGAATCAACGCTTTTGTTTAACATGGCCCTTGGACGAGACTCCAGTCTTATGTTCGTTCGATGGCGGTTGATCCCGTGTCGTGAAGTCGCCCCTCATCAGGCGATAGCAGCTCATCCAGCTTGCGCCGTCTTTTGTTTCATGTGGGATGTTGCCGATTATTCTGGCACCCCCAAATCCAAACTCTAGTTGCCACACTCAAGACAAGCACATTTGATCCCAGATAGTGCATACAAAAATCACAATCATGCTTTCTGTGGCACTTTCGGCGCTTTCGTGTTTCGAGCCTTCAAACTCTGAGAAGTTGAAGCTTTCGAACTCGCAAGCTCCGTGTGCTTCAACACTTCAAGCTTTCGAAATTTGACAAGTTCAAACTTTCAACCTTCGAACCGCTCGTACTTTCCGATTCTCGAGCCTTCACGCTTCCACACTCTCAAATTTCAGCCGTTCAATCTCGGGTTTGCCAAGCTGTGTCCTCCACCCCACGTCCGTCGCACGGCACACGTCGCTGCGGAATCAAACTTTCAATCTGGGTTCCTGTTCAAATCAAACATTCAAAAATTCAAAGCTCGCGAATGCTTTCAACTCCAAACCTTCAAACACTCGAGCTTCAATCTTTTCATGCGATATCAACCTTCCCAATCTCGCTCTCTCTTTGATTCGTTCAATGATTCAAATTGTTCGAGTTCGGATAGCTCTACTCGAGACGGCAATCGTCAATAGTCGGAGGAGGGGGGTGGTGCTCGAATAAGAGGAAACTCCATCAAAGATGGGGAACATGTCATTTGTCATGATAATTTGTTCGTGTGCAAGAGAAGCAACATGTTTTGCAGCAGTTTTTTTGTATGTTTTCTGTGTTTTTCACTGAAAGGGTTCTTTGAACACGTGAAGGTTCGGAAACAACAATCGGGTTTCACAGCGTTTGGCCCCAATTGCAACGTGGAAGCCGTAGACCTGGTTATGGTGCTCGTCCGCAAAGTGACATATCTAGCAGATGTGGTTCAAAGTTTGAGTATGCAGCCGATGCGTGTTGTGAGCATGCAGGATGCAATACACAGGTGCAGCACGTCATATGAGATGCCCGAAGTTCGTTTGCTACATTCTTGCATGCAAGCTTGTGGCTAGCTGTCTTCCAGTTCAGTCGGCCGCACGCGAGAAAGCATGGTTCCTCGACGACGAGAGTATAGCACCACGTAGTTGCAGCATATAAGTCTTGCAACTGTTTTTGCCATGTTGGAGACTTTTTTGTTCATCTCATGCGTGCACTTTTCACGGAAAAAACGCTCTTGCTTTCCCACAACCTTTGACGAGCAATTTATGAAACCCTAAACCCAAAGCCCTAAACCATGATGCAGGTGTTCGGATGTCCACAACGATCTCTGGTTGCTTCACAAATTTGCATCCGTTCGAATTGCCATAGATTCACTCTCCGGGCGACGAGATAAGCCCTCTTGCCGGAGCAGCAGTTCCTGTGTTGCTTATGATTTTGAGAAACGACGAACATTGTACTGGGAAGATTTTCCACGTTCAACCTCGGCGGCAGAGCATCGGTGCAGCCCACCGGTACAAACCGCTTAATCTCGGCCGAGATGTAATGTGCCGCATGTGACGTCAGGCCGATTGAATCGATTGTTGCACATGCCCGATCATGCCCGTTTAGGTGTCACATGTCCTTTGCCTTCCACCACAGCCCCTTGGAACGTAATTTTCATTGCGCGTTTTTCTGGCTCTCAGTACGGACAGGTCCGTCTTGTTCTTTCGAGGAATTGTACTTCGTAGCATGTCGCTGTTGCGATCCTGCTGCTCGCAAGGGCGAAGCTCGGAAGTGGCGTTGCCACTCGCGTTACATGCTGCATACCTTCGTGACTCCGCTGTGACAGAGATCGCCTGCATGCCTCAGTACTTTCCGATGTACGTTATTCCAGTACCTAGCGGGCCGTTGCGCAGCGTTTCTTTTTCCGGTCTTTTAGATCCGTCCCAAGCAACCACCGCGCAGCAACAGATTCGTGTGCCAGGTGGAGGATGTGCTGAGCATGACCATGCTCCGGCCACACGAAGAGCTCCTGAATGCACGTACCTTGGTACAGTACGAGGGGGGCAGTCAGGGGAGCGTCATGTTCATCTCGCACCAATGGGCTGGCTCGGACCATCCTGATCCCTTCTTTGAGCAGTTCAAGATCTTGCAGGAGGCCTTAAGGAAGATGATGTCCAACGCCTCTGGGGTCAGTGCCAACATCTTGGTCGAGATGATGTACGCACAAGACACCAAGGGGGTCACAGCCAAAGAGCTCACCTCCCAGCCGCTCTTTCTTTGGTACGACTACTTCTCCTGCCCTCAGATTGAAGCACAGATGGGCAAAACAAGAGAACAGGCCATCAGCAGCATCGCGGCTTATGTTGAGAAGTGCCAGTACTTCGTGGTCCTCTGCCCACATGTCAGACACGCCGAGAATGAGGCGCTCACGAAGAAAAGCTGGGAAAGCCGCGGCTGGTGCAGACTAGAGCGCGCCGCAGAGGGGCTGAGGCTCCAGGGGAAGACCGGCTTGTCCATCGAAGCTGGGCTCTTGTTTAAAGTTTAGGATTTAGGGGTTAGGGTTTAGGGTTCCTTGTTTAAGGAACCTGAGCTTCAGCTCCCATAGGGGGAAGCATTGGTAAAGTAACTCCTATGGTTTCCTGATTGTGGTATTCTGTGTTCTTCTTAGGGGGTTGTATTTAAAGTTACCACAAGTGGGGATCTATAGCAAATACTATGGTTTCTGAATTATGGTAACTTTCATAAAAGCCCCTTAACAAGAGCCCAGAGAACTTAGGCTCGCGAACCCCTAAACCCTAAACCCTACACCCTAAGCCCTAAACCCTCAGCCCAGGAAGTCCACAGCGGCTCCTACCAGGCGCTCGGGCCCCATTGGGACTGGCTCCGGATTCCCGTGGCTGGGCTCTGTTTAAGGGATTTAACTTAAGGGGTTTAGGGTTGAGGGTTTAGGGGATTTTTGTATTTAGGGTGGTTTAGGGGATAGGGTTTAGGGTTTATAATAAGGAAACCATATTATTTACTATAGATCCCCATTATGGTAACTTGAATTCAAAAATCCCTTAACAAGAAACCCAGGTGGGCGAAGGCCAGTTCCGAAAGGACGAAGACCGGTCGAAGCTGGCCGAAGTCTTGTGTGTCACCGGGCTCTTGGTAGGGTTCAGGATTTAGGGTTTAGGGTTTAGGGTTCAGGATTAAGGATCTAGGGTTTAGGGTTTAAGTTACCATACTGGGGATCTCTAGTAAATAGTAAGGTTTCTTTATTATGGTAACTAAAGTAAAGTCCCCTAACAAGAGCCCAGGTCATGTTGGCCAACAAGCTGAACTACTTCCTGCTGCAGGAGGATCCCCACGCATCCCAAGCCTTTCTTTAAGCCCTCGGTTTGGGCTTCCTCACGAAACTTCCCCGAATTCCAAGCCCCTGAAAGAGCATTTTAGAATCCAAAGCCTCGCAGCTTTTGGCCCTGAGAGCCACCTTCTCAAGCCTAAACCCTACACCCTAAACCCTAAACCCGAGAGCCTAAACCCTACACCCTGAACCCTAAAAGCTAAACCCTAAACCCTAAAGCCTAAACCCGAAAGCCTAAACCCTACACTCTAAACCCTAAACCCTACAGCCTAAACCCCACACCCTGAACCCCGAAGCTTTCAGGACTTCTGCAACTACCGCATCCTGCTGAACCTGCAGAGGCTGCAGCTCCGCGGCTTGTCTGCTACGCCCAAGGAGGACTCTGGGATGGGATTGGGGGGGCTTTCGGGGTCTGGGGCTTTTGGGGCTTTAGGTTTTTTTTTTGGGTTTTTTAGGGCTATTAAGGTTTTGGGGTTTTTAGGGCTTTTAGGGTTTGGGGTTGCGGTTTTAGAGTTGAGGGTGTAAGGGTGTACGGCTTCGGGTTGCGAGATTTACATCCCAAACCCAAACCTCCGAACCCTTGAATTTTATTCGCGAAGCGCCTGCCCGCTGGACGTTTTCCGTGCAGCGCTTGCCTACGCTTCGGTGCTACCTTGAACCCTACACTCTATGCCCCGTTGTACGCTCTCAGCCCAGACTCGGAGCCGATTTGGCTTCCTCTATACATAAGGGTCACAGACGTATAAATTCTAAACCCTAAACCCCAAACCCTAAACCCTATGGCCTTCATCGTTATGGAGCTGGGTTTGGGATAGCACTTCGAAGCCAAGCGCCCCAGCCTCCAAGCACCAGACCCTATACGAATACCCAGTGCTCCAAGCACCTCCCTCAAGCAATGATTCTACCCAACTTGCAACAAGTGCTGCACCCCGAAGCTTGAAGCCCTAAACCCTAAACCCTAAGCCCTAAACCAGCAGGTTCAAGCACTAAGCCCCGGAGTTTACCTGCAAGCTTTCAGCCCTCATCACTGGCCCTAACCATTTAGCCCCTAGACCCTAGAGACTCTAACCCCCGAACCCTAATTTCTGATCCCTCTACACCCCCTAAACCCAAAACCCTAAATCCTAAACCCTACACCCCAACCCATTTTGCATTGAAGTGACGGCTCAGAGCAGGGGTGTTGGCGTGCGGGCGAGGATTCAAGAACTGGGCTCTTGCCAGGAGACATTATTTAAGTTACCATAGCTGGGCTGGTATTTATAATGGTTCCTTAGTATGGTATTTTAAATAAAATACCCCTAACAAGTGCCCAGATCACCGTCTTCACGCCTCAGACGAGCTCCATTGAAGGCTCAACGCCTCCAAGACTCAAAGCCCCGACACCCCCGCACCATCGGTCTGGGTTTAGGGTCTAGCGGGTTTCTGGGTTTAGTGTTTAGGGCTTAGGGTTTAGGGTTTAGGGTTTAGGGCTTAGGGCTGCAGAGACTCCCCACACCCAACCCTGAACCTAAAGCCTCGACCCCAAACCCCCAACAGTCTCAACCAATAAACGCCGGCGTCCCCCGAACCTAAAACCCTAAAATCTCAACTCCTAACCCTAAAGCCTAAACCCTGACTACTAGATGCCAGGGGTTTCAAAAGTGGAGGACTTTGTGCCGGGCTTCGTCTCCAACACGAAAGACCCAGCGGTGTTGACAGTGGAGCGCTTCATGCGGCTTTCCTTCGGGGGGTTGTTGTGGGTTTATGGTGTAGGGGTTCAAATTTTTGTGGTTTAGGGTCTGAAGTTGATGGTTCAGGGCCAGGGTCTTTGCTTAATGATTAGAACGGTGCTTTGGGGCGGACTATACTATAACTATTACCATTACTTATATGGTCGGCTTTCCATGAGGATCGCTTTAGATGCAAATCGGATGCTTCCTTCGGTGAGTATCTGCAAGAGGAGGCCCAGAGAAGTAACCAGCGCATACATATCTAAACCCTAAAGCTTAAGCCCTGAACCCTATGTATTAATGTGGTGTAGCGCTCCCGGCGCTCCCATGCACTTTTCGTCCCGTCATCCCCTTTCCCCCTCTGCGGATGAAGATGTAAAGCCAGAAAGGGGTTTTAGGGTTGAAGGTAACAGTATTCCCCTAGCGTCCTACAGCACGCATTCTGGTATAGCGTACCCAAAGCCCCATTCCAATTACCTGTATAACCTAAACCCTAAACCCTAAACCCTAAACCCTATAAACCCTATAAACCCTAAACCCTCGGGTTTACCGAGCTTGGCTTCTTTTCACCGGGACCTCGATTTGGGGTGCTGTGCCAGACTTCAGGGCTGGGGGCACCCATTGGGCCCTCGAAAGGAAAGCCTTAAAACGGTTTAAGGTTTAGGGTTTAGGGTTTTTGGGCCCAGAGGTCCATAATACCATAATACCTCCGTTTAGGGTTTAGAGTTTTTGGGTTTAGGGGTTTTAGGGGGTTTAGGGGGTTTAGGGTTTAGGGAATCTTTAACCCTAAACCCCTAACTCCAGTCGCTAGGCCCTGAACCCTTGACCTAATGCAGCGGAAAAAGGAGTTCAACAAAAAAAGGAGGGAGCCCTCAACCCCAAAATCCTGCTTTCGAAGACGAACGAAGACCGGAGATGGCCTGAGGTGTCAGAACGGCAGTCTTTCAACCCTCAACCCTCGACCCTCGACCCTAAGCTCTAAACCTTGAAACAGTCCAGCGACGTACGACGGCACCAGAGCACCCACATCATGTGCAAAGCTTCAAAGGTATCAGAACGGCTTTCTTTCCATCCAAGCGCCCGACTCTGCGGGCTGGCCTCCGCTTTGCTATGCGGCCCTGGATGGCAGCCCTATGCTGGTGGCGAGCCTTTTGGAGCAAAGAGCCGAGGTGAACAGCTGCAGCACCAAGTTCGACAAGCTCTTCAACTTCCCTCCCAGGTGTCTTTTTTTTGGGGACCCTAAGCCCTGAACCCTACACCCTAAACCCCTAAAGCTAAAACCCTAAGCCCTAAACCTAAACCTAAACCCTAAACCCCTAAACCCTAAATGCTTGCTCCCTTTATTTGCAAAAGCGCTGAAGCCCTGTTAGGATGAGCGCCCTGTCGATCTGCGTGGCGCTGATGAACAACGATGCCTGCCGTGTGCTGATCGAGGCCAAGGCAGATCTTCATGCGGAGGTCGGGTGCACGAGGGTTTAAAACAGGGTTTAGGTTTTTCCCAAAAACCCCTCTGGGG